ATAATAACTGTCACTAATTCAAGCTGTTCTCGAATGGCTTTTTGAATAGAAAGAGAGGGAGAGAGTGCGAGTGAGAGAGAGAGGCAGCAATAGAGAGGAGAGAGGCCTGAGAGATTAACTCCAGTGAGCTCACTCTGAGAGGCCCAGGAACGGCTGAATATTGTTCTAGTGGTGGGGAGATGGGGAGATGGAGGGGGGGCCGAAAGGAAAAAAATCCCTATGCAGCCAGAGAAATGAACTTGATGATCTCAGGGGGGCGGGGGGAGGATCACCATTCCTTGCTCCTGACAATCAAAATTAGATTGGCCAGCACTGTGTCAACACTAGCCTCAGTTAAGGCATGACAGGGGAGGGAGGGAGCGCAACCCCCCCCGTGGGTGTTTGAGAGTTTGCCATGTGAACTATGGAGACCCCACAGTGCCTTTCACTGACTGCTCAGGCCTCAAAGAAATGCACAGCCCCTTTTTATAGGCCAGCACTGTAACCGACAGCATCTCTGCCCCGAGCTCTATATTTTGGCAACTCGTTATTGCTGTTTTTGCTGCCATGTTGCATTAAACCCTCACAATCTGCACAACTGGGACTACAATCTGCGAGGCATGTGAATCAGAACAAACAATATGAACTATAAATGTGAGCAATAGAGCATTAGTTCTGCATTTCTCTTTCACTCATCCTTATCATTTGAACTTTTAGGGTATGCAAAGGCAAATGTATTCAAATAGAACAATTCATACATTAACAGAAAATAATAAATGTACCTGATATGTTTGTAGCAATTTATCTTGTATTTAAACCAAATATGAATATGCAAATATTGAAAAATAAAAATAAAAGCTTCCTAAAATTAGACAAGCAAGCAACAAAGAGAAATGAATTCATGAACGTGTTTATATAAAAAAAAATATTATTAACATGAGATTGTCATATGTTATTTTTCTCAAGGTTTCTGTGGAACATTAAAGTACACATGTTAAAATCACAGTAAATTGTTCCTTTTTTTATGTTTTTGTCATTTTCTTGCATAAATCACACTGATGTCTGTGAAGGGGGGGTGAAACTCACTTGATCAAGGGTTGTGTTTTTGGAGGTTTGATCAGTGACCTGGATTATTTCACTGTGTCCTGCCCATGAGAGAGGGAGTGCAGCTGTGTCCTCATATAACCTTCTCAAATGTTGTATTATATCATCCCCATAAATGTAATAGGAGAATTAACAGCTTTAACAATACTTTTGAGAGAAATAGCATCTTGATGTTTTTGTAGGTTGTCATTACCTTTGTGTCCCCACCCTACATCTGTAATATTAACTGCACTGCATGTGGTATGCTACAGATTGAAGATGTTGTTCCAAAAACAAGTCCGATTTAGGATTATTACCGGGCTGCAGGACGACAGCGTGGGACAAAAGGTTTTGTTTTTCACTCTCAGGCTGATTCCTGTTGTTGCCAAAAGTTAGATGTCCGACTGACTTTCAAGTAATCACACACTGCTGTGAGGAGCATTCAAAATAAGTGGATGGAATGTGCAGATTGCCGAGTATTGGCAGAGGAAAAGTGGCCTCGTGTTTTCAGTCATCATTAAGATGTTGTACCTGTGCGAAACACGCAGAGAGTTCATTGCTCACATCCTGCATGAAAGATTTTTCTCTTTGATATGGTGTTTCAACTTCATGACCTCTGTGGGTTTTAGTTTGGATAAGTTGTAACATCTAAGGATTATGATTTGTATTAAAAGATATCTACATCTACTTTACATATGAAGATAAGTGTATGATACATACAGTAAATACATTCCTTTCTTTTTTAAGACACATAAAATAAAATCAATAACATATTGGGACTTTTTTGTAGACAGACAGGAAATGCAGCAACGGTCTTGATGTCAGATTCAAACCTGGGCCTTTGCGGTAAGGATTTGAATAACTTCTAGGAACAAATTATTTCATTAAACTATAGTCAGTAGACAAATATTCACTGCTCCTGTGCTGTATGTCATGTCATTTCCCTTTAATTATTTTTCAGATACGATTTCACTCAGATACGATTTCACTCTCTTACTTTGAAATAAATCTGTGTACTGTTGTCCATCTATCACGGGTATCAACTGTACTGGTGAATCTTTAATGTTGTTGAATGCCCCACAGAATATAAATTGTAAAACTACAACAGGATGTACAGATATGAGTATAATTAAGGTCTGACTGTGAGAAAGAAAATCCTCCAGGGTAGGGGTGGGCATCCTGTCCCCATGTATACTCTCAGATCTGTGGGACGGCTCAGAGACATGCAGCCCCTCAACAGCATCTACAGCATAGTCAGCATCAAACCAGATGGTGCGCTGCGAGCACAAAAGAGTGACAGCTGTCATTCTCTCAGACCCTGAAACTCTGCAGGGAACTCCACCTATTGATTAACCAGAGTGGAACAAAATGAAAATGGATCAACATTAATAGGATTTCTCAGAGTAAATGTTAATTTTTTAAATCACAGTTAAATGTAATTGGATTTTAAGCCGAAGACACAAAACAATACTTGTAACATGTTGTCTGTTGAGTGTTTTGAATAAAAAACATTTAAAAAAAAAAGTAAATACTTCAATTTTGAAACAAATTGAAGTAAGTATTCAAGAAATAGTTTGCTAATGTAACATTAATGTTGTATTTACTACCCCAAAACATGATTTTGTGTCTACTTTGAGAAGGTAGAATAAACACATAATATATGATTTTTTTAAATACATTACATTTCATTTAGCTGACGCTTTTATCCAAAGCGACTTACAATGACCAATTACAGGGACATTCTCCCTGGAGTAGCTGAGGACTAAGTGCCTTACTCAAGGGCACACTAGTGGTGGTGTTCCCGGTGGGATTTGAACTAACAACCTTCCGATCTTCAGCCCACCTCACTATCCATTAGACCACCACTATCACTATACAACAGAGTGAAACAGAAATTCAATATGCAATGAACCACACGCTTCACTATTATTCCTTGTTGAGGATTTGGATTCTCTATACTTATATCTTGTGTCTCCCCTGTTTTATTGTCATGTGAGATTCTTTCATCCCTGAGTCCCCTCTCTAAACATAGCCGGTCACTGAGCTTGAAAAAAAGGTGTTACTGATGATGACTGTGTCCAGCAATTTAAGCTATTGAGAGCTGCCCCCAATTCACCTTCTTTCTTAACTTTATGGCTATAATTGCCATAAAGCTCCTCCCAAATCCTCCCAGCCCCCGCCAGCCTTTCTTGAAGGCTTTGTAAAATCTTCCATAATTGCCATTGTACTTTACTGTTTTCTTCCACAAGTGCCTCCATTGCGTAGTGTGGTCTTTATTTTATGAAGTTGGGTCAGAGTTCATCATGTTAGTAGTCAGCTTTGGGTGCAGCATTCAGCCCCTAACACTTCATGTCCAGCTTGTACTCCTTATGTGCCAAAACAATAAAAACATCCATCAATGTCCTCCCTTGTCTATGTAGGGCGGGTATGACTGATGATGTGTACGGCACATTGATGCACTTGAGGGGCAGGGGACTGTGTGAATGTTTGTTTATGTCAAGTGAGGATTTGTCAAAAGGTTTATGTCATTGCTGGCATCAGTCTCCTCGAGTTTGTACTGGGTGGTCTTTGTGTGTTTGCATCCGTAAAGAGCTTCGTTCTCACTCTCATTTGTCCCCTATTGATTCTCTAAATTAGGTTGATGAGAGGCCCTCCTATCAGGTGGCATATTAATTGGGTCAGGCTGGATCTTATATGACATCCAAATAATGGCAACCCGAACCCCAAGACTAAACCTTTGTCCCCTGAACGCTCTCTTTCACCAATTAGCCTCGCGGTGTATCTGCTTGCTGCCACCTCTGCTGCCCGTTAGGCTACTGTTTTCTAAGAATCAGGATGCCACCGGTTGCCTGTGTGTGTGTGTGTGTGTGTGTGTGTGTGTGTGTGTGTGTGTGTGTGTGTGTGTGTGTGTGTGTGTGTGTGCGTGTGCGTGTGCGTGTGTGTGTGTGTGTGTGTGTTTGTGGGCGTGTGTGTGTGTGCGCTTCTGAAGGTGTCAGAGCAACCTGGGGGGAGTTCACATTCTTGAATAAAAGCAAATTCATATTTAATTTTCAAAAACTGAAACCAGTGATTCACTGTTTGAATTTGACTACTTTAAGGACAAAATACTAAATAAATAAGAAAATAAAAGTTTTAAAACATCACCTATGTTGATAGACTATGATTTACAGAAAGTATCTGCACAGATATTTACATTTTTATAAGACATTTCTAATTTCAAATCTATCGCCACATGAAATGACAATGATGATGTAGCCTATGATGATGAAGTATTGCAATATTATCAGTAATATGACCTGGGCATTATTCTCAAGGAAAATTCCAATCAGTGCTCCCTGGGATGAGAGATCTAATAATAATTGCAATAACTGCTTATTGCCATAGGTGTCGCCAAAGACAGTCGTAACAACACAGACATATTTGAGATTGTCATAAAGGGAACATACAGTAATGTAATATGATCATTTTCATACTTGTACTATTTCTACTCCACCCAGTGACTTCCAGGGGTTACTCAACTGGCTTGTTGTATTGTATGCCTTTGTTATTCTATATTACCCTGTTTCTGTTTATTTGATTCTCTTTGCTTTTTAATGACTGTTTTTAAGTGCCATATTTCTTAATGCTCTTAATGTTAAAAAATGTTGTAAAGCATTTTGAATTGCCTGTGGGTTGTGTTGAAAGGTGCTATATAAATAAACTTGCCTTGGGTTACAGCAGGAAAAACAAGTGTGCATAACATTTTAGTTACTACATTTTACAGTGCAGCCATGGAGAAACACAAGTATTAGGCTTACATTTTGTTTACATTTTTTTTATCCCATCCTAGTTTCTCAAAGTCCAAATTGATCGTATTTTGTAAGCCCAACAATTTTTTAGAAACTCCATTTTGTTCACCAGTCTTCAATTATTTTTAAATAAACAGCCAATCCCATAAGCTAAATAAATGATTTATTGTACAAAAGAAAAATGACAGTAAATAAACAACAAAAAGGCAAAAATAACAATTGAACAGTTATTCATATGCACAACCATTAAACTACAAAGTTGGGGTGATTTCTTTTTTTTAAACTACACAATGAACGGAGGAATGACGGGGGAAAGTGAGAAAAACATTAGAAGCGGCGAACCTGTCCAAAATATCATAAATGTCAACATTTGGGAAGGTATTTACATAGAGATTTCTTACTCTCATATATTTATATGAAAACACTCTCACACATACCAGTATACAAACACTAAAATTCAAAATGCAACTTCTCAACGAGCCATAGATGTGGGCACAGCTAATTATTTCTTTTGACCACACATTACCAGAGCCGCTACCATCAGTCACTCCGTCAATAACTCAATCTGAACCTGAGAGCAAGGGGACCCTGTGGTTTTCATCTACATTTTTGGGGGCTTTCTTATAGGTTAAATGTCTGCACAGATTAATTGATGACAAATTTAAAAAAGCAAGGTTTTTAGGAGGCTAGAGTGAGGTAGACAGACTTTGAAATGCATTGCAATTATTATTAATAAATAGATAATTGACCAGTTGAATTATTTCCAACCACTGCCCCTAAACCAGCTTTTTCCTCCCTTTGAAATGTTCTAGCATATTCCTGCGATCACAAAAGTTACAGCACACAACATGTCATCCTCTACTTTGGCTAACAATCCCTGGATACTCCTCCCATTCTTGCATGGGTGCTTTCACTTAAAATACACACAAAGGCAAAAACATGTCTATGCAAGACAGTTAAAACATTGTTTAAGTCAAAAGGACGTAGTCTCTCTAACATGGTAACAAATTAAAGTTTGTGGGCGGGCCATTTCCAGTTAAAGCATTCTATTTTCATTGATCCAGACACTTAAGATACACATGACTTATCACCCAAAGTGGGAAAGGAGGCCTTTCAGGCCGCTGGTACGCTACGTCCAGGTTCCAGATTGGATAAAAGTGTGTGAGTGTATGGACAGGCCCCCGCTTCAGACAAAAGTCAGGAAAGCGTGATGGTATCAAAAAGAAGTGATAACCTCTCTAGTTCATGGTTTATCACCAGAAGCTTGAATATTTTTTTTTCTTTTTTATGCTATACTGGACAAGCTCTCTTGTGCTTGATAAAGAACAAACAACACTTCACATCCTCACGCCATGAACGTTCCATAGTGCAAAATTTATTGTTGGTAAGGTAGAGTGCCCCAAAAAAGGTTTTTGTACCCCTTTTTTTAATATATACATATATCATTTATATATAATGTCAGAAGGCTCTTCCTTTATCCAACAGCATAGTGCTTTCGTTTACAACAAAAGGATATCTTTGCTTTGACATCCAGGAGACAAAGACAGACTTTTAGCGGTTCTAATCTACTCTGTGTTCAAGCACTAACAATATTTTACGATGATGACAAAACAGTTGAGGTGGAGGCGGGCATTTTAAAATGCAATCAAATGTTTTCTAATCTAAAGTCTGTGGTTGAGTTACATTCTCTTGATTTCCTTGTGTTATGTGGTTTGTTGTGATTTTTAAAAGCTATTATTTCAGAGCACAGTACTAGAGTTAGAGGATTTTGCATTTTTATCTTTTTTGAAACTAGTATTGAAAAAAAGTTAATTAACATCAAGTGTAATGGATGCAAACAAGTATGAGTGTGAAAAGTTCAAGTTATATTTATGTTATCATGTTTCAGCTCAATAGTTCACAGCAGGCTGAACATTACAGTCACTCTGTGTTTTTATTTCAGGATTGTTGCCCTCTGTTTGTCGTATAACTCTCACTCTCAAGCCTCTGCAAGTTATGAAACAGTGCATTTGCATCTCATTCAGGCAAAAGTTGAAGGTGTGACTGGTATTTTCCTTTTGTCACATAGAAGAAAGAAAATGTGTCGGGTTCTCGTCATCCCGCGGGATCCTGCTCCTCCTCCTCCTCCTCTCCCAGGCAGTGCCGAATAACTTGAGAGTGTTTCTACATTACACTTCTTAGTTTGAGACTTTAATGTGGAAGTAAAACCTAAATAAGTCTTATCTACTTTGGCAGAATGTCAGAAATAGCTACACTGGCTCCATTTATTCACTTTGAAAGATAGAGTTAAAATAGCACAAGCTGTTTTCTCCCTCTTTTCTTTTTGAGTTTTACAAGACTGCAAATAAAAAAGATCAAAGTAACTGTGAAAGGTTTTGTGGACACTCGAGAATGTCACACTGGGGTGTTATACATTAATAGAGGGTATAGGTTTGGTTTCGGATCTCCTTTAACACTCTCTAGAGCACATTTCTAAACATCTGTAAACAAGATTTTGGATTTATACTAACAGTATTTCTATAGGTAAACCCTCCTCACGTACGTGTGGATTTAGTTCTCTTTGTTAAAGTGAAAGATTGCAAAATAATTCTGATCATGCCCCGTTGCAAACATTTTTCTCATTCTCAAGTAAATGTATCTTTAAAATTAAGTTTCTTCCAAACTCACCTTAGGACTGAAATTACTTTAAAAATATTGTAAATGCTTATGTCTCCTGTCATCTCGACCCACTAACCTGGACATTTCACAAAGATGCCGTTAAAAAAATCAACTTTGAAAAACCCACAAAACTAACACATACTCTATAACATAGTTTTGTCTCATTTACTGTTTTCGGAAGCTGCTTCGCAAAGACAACCTCTTTAAATCATTCATGATGTATTTCCATCACTCAGTCCTTTGTTGATTCCTGTTTAAATTACAACTTTTTTTTTTTTTTTAAACACCTTGAATCAATTTAATTACTGGAAACATGGAAACCAAGTGGGATGATTTTGTTGCTGAGCAAAAGTGAAATCTGGTGCCGAGGAGTGGGTTCTGGTGCCAGGGGAGACTCCGTAAGGGTTTTGGGTGTTTTGAAGCGATGGTGGCTGTACACAAGTGTGTGTCTCCCCTGCAGCCTAAGAGCAGCCACATCTATCCACCACCATCCCCGGGATTTTGCCGTGAATGATCTGCTGCTTGTCATTGAAGTAGAGCATGTTAATGGGGGACATCTTGGTCGGGGTGCAGCAGGGCCCTGCGGAGCCTCGGGGGTTGGCGTGCTGCACCAGGTGGGTGTGCGGGTATTTCTGCATGAACATGTACTCGCACTGGCCGGAGCAATAGTTGGCTTTGTAGCGTTTGGGGGCAATGATCCAGTCCCAGCCAAAAGCCTCGAAATCCACAGTCAGAGGGTAGCGGCAGCAGCGGGACTCGGTGGAGTGTTCGTCGCAGTCCAGGCCGAGGTTTCTCCGAGAGCGCTTGGTCGTCTCGAGAACCTTCACTTCCAGGAATGGCTGCTGGAATCAGGGGGAGGAGAGGCAGGACAGAGAGAAAGAGGTGGTTATAAGAGAACAACAACACAGCTGATAGCAGTTGAGGAACATTCATTTACTTGACAAGAAGTTACGGATTTTTTTTTTACATTCTGGGCAACCCAAATACAAAACATCTACTAGACATCACTAGTTAATGCCACTGTTCACCTCATGTATTAAAGTGACATACACAAATTAGCTGTTTTTTTCAAGCGTTAGATGAGAATATCTGTACACCTCTTAGTGTGTTTCAATTAGGGCCTAGAGTTGGGAGGTTATTAGCTTAGCTTAGGTAGGAGGAAAGAGCTAGTTTTCCAATGCCCATTTGGCAGTGATTACTGGAAGCTCCAAACGTATGTCAAGTCAACTGCGATATATCAATATATATAGCAATATAACTGCAATCCCCCCCTGCCTGAAACACCTCCATTGGACTCCTTTGTTTACTTCAGCGACATAGTGACATCACAAGGTAGCACTCGTGCTTCTATTGGCTAGCGCTCCAACACATTGTGATTGGAGCGCTAAATCTCTAAGCGGTTGACCAATCACAACAGAGCCGGCCAGCTATCCAATCAGAGCAGACTGGGCTCTGGTTTCAGACAGAGGGTGAAAAGAGGTGCTGCAGCACAGGCAGTATGAGAAAAATAAAGAGCTTTTTTTAACATTAAAGCATGGATAGAACATTAATGGTTAAAGTAGTTGAAGTATAAAGTGGGAGTTACGTTCTTACTGTAACTATTTCCTGACGGACAAACGCCTATCCTCCCCCCCCCCCTTTGTGTCTTTGCTGGTTGCATGGCAACCTCACGGCAACCACAAGCCTCTGGGTAGTAACAGCTCCCTGCAGCTGTTTGCAAAGAAATTGTTACAGCATACAAGTCTCCTTAAAACCTCAAAATGCCGTTTTTACAGTTCTGTTTGTGCACAGATTAAACAAAGAGCTTTGAAAGGGTGCTGGCAGGCAGATTTTGAACAGAGCTGGGCTAACTGTTTTTACTCTTTCTAAACTTTATGCTAATGACAAACTAATCACCTCCAAGCTTTTACTTCATATTTAACACACAGAGTAGCATCGATCTTCTCATCTCTTGTGTGATTCCCAAAAATTAGGAATGAGTCCTTTAAATCCTGACATAGCAGCTGTAAAACCAATTACAATTCTTTAACAGATTTGAATGGTTTATAATCTAAAGAATAGTGATCTGGGGTAAGAAGAAAGAGGGAACAGGGTTCTTAAGAAATGTTGTGCACGGTAGATCACAGCTACAGTTAATGAAGGTCCTTCCATCTGTGCTTTTTCTGCAACTCAATTCATTCTTATGTACATAATGTCTTTGACAGGTTGAATACGACAAATAGCTTTGTAAAGTTCCTATGGATTGAAATAGGCAGAGTGTAAATATCGTTTTTTTAGTTTCTCAAGCAAAGACAAAGAAAACTCAGACAAAATCATTTGATGTGTCATTCCATATGTCAGCTAATCTATAAACTCAGAGAGACTGGACTACAAGCCACACACTTCTTCTGATAGTTCAGCGTTAAACACTTAAGTATTGATTTAAGATGCCAGAGTACCGACATGCATATCTGTAGTTGGTTTGCTCAACGCACACAGCTGGCCGTTAACAGGAAAGAGGCCATGTGTTGCAAACTGTGGTAAAACCCCCAACTAAGACGTTACAAGATAAACATTAAAACAGCGTGATACAATATAAAAGGTACTTAATCTAATTTACACTAACATAACTAACAGTTGCTAATACCTACTTTTTTTCTCCAAACAAAAACATTTACACTTGACGCCCAGAAAAGAGCCAAAGGGACAAATGATATGAATCAGAAGCTGAAAGTGACAAAGAATTTGATATCAAACTGCTTAAAATGAAATAAAAGTAATCCTCTGATGGTTTACAGGACCATATGAATGAATTGGTCTTTTTAAAGTACGAACACAATGTCACATTTGAGCAGCGATTCAAAGAGCATTGACAGAAACCATCCATGGATGACTCTGGTTTGATCCATGACCCAGGAGGTCATCTGCAGGCTACCATAACCTTGACCTTTGGGCAAAGCAAGCAGATCAAATATTTTACTCCATCATGTTTGTTTTACAAAGCCTTCCACTCCCCACAGTGATTCCAGCTGGGCCCGAGCACAGTTTTTGTGACGCATTCAAAAGAGGAAATAAGCTGAAAGGCCGTTGGGGTGAGACCATGTCAGCTTGGCCTTTAGAGCTTTTGTTGTAGAAAAAAGACCCAGAGAACAGGGAGAAGCAGAGTTTGAGTCTTTCTTTGCTTGTTGTGTTTTGTTTTATTTTGGTACGCTTGCCTGGGTTTTGGATCTTTTCCCTTTTTTTCAAAATGTAAGAATAATATTGCACACTGCTGTGCGATCAGAGGGCATGGATTTATTGGCCAAGACACCAGAACTGACCCCTGATATGTCTTGTGAAGACATGACCCAAATGACCACTTGGTACATATTTGGTGTTGCTTAACGGGGATGAGTGGCCTACATAATTCAACATAAATGTAGTATCTGCATTCTGTCAGTAGCAGTAACTCTGGGATTACTAACCAGATTAATGATTTACGGGTGTTTGTTTGCTTTCAGACTGAAGTTTGAACTCATGTGCAAACGAGTCTATTCCATTAGACATAAACACAGTAAATTAAAATATATATATATACAAATCCTGTTTTTAGGGTTTTAGGGCCAAGAGGAGTCCTTCAGCTCAATGGTTCATGGTACAAATCTTAAAAGGAGTGTCTAAACTATTCATCTTTTTCTATTTCCCATTGTGGCTATAATTTTCGTCAATCTCTGAAAGGAAAGTATGAAGAATATGTAAATCGTGTGAAGCGGTAGAAGATGGATGGATGGTGAATGGTGAGGTCGTATCCACACAAAGCAGAACTGAATATAGCATAGTCATGACTGACATGTCAAAGACTGCAGTGGTGGTGTATTTAGGGTCAAAAGTACATGATGCCTTAATAAATACTGTATTTTAAGTTGTATTTATTTTATGTCAAATCCTCCATCTGGTAATATGGATATGATTGAAACAAATTATCCACAATTATGACACAAATCACAGCTGTTCCTGTTTCTATATGTAGAGAGTATAGTTTGCTTTTGTTTTTTTAAATGTCTTGTCTTATATTGTAATATTGTCACTTGGGAACCAGTTGAAGTCCAGCTGGGTTGTTACAGATGGTGGAGTTTTTCCAAAGAACGAATGTTCAACTCTTAGGTTTGCAACAACAAACTAAAGGTTTGCCTTTTAAAGACCAATTAACCCAGAAGTTATGGAAATGAAGGGTTTGAGTCCAGTCTTCAACAAGTTGAGCTGTTTCATGCCAAATTTACAATCAAGGTTTTTAATTGACACAACACACTTGTGTTTGTGTTTGAAGTGAACCTCCGCAATAAGTAAGAGGGAAGCTGTTCTCTGCTTTTTGGGGTTTCCATTATCCTGTAGTGTGTTATATAGGTTATATACTGCATATATATGTTTTATTAATGAATCACATTTTTCAGAATCTATTAACTTTACTGAAAAACCACAAGGCATGCAAGAATATTGTAGGACAATAGTTGTATATATCAGTACGGCATCCTGTGTATTGGATTATAACTTGAGAGCGACTGCTAGCAATTTTGAGCTAATATTAAAACTAACCTATTTTTTTTAAAGACAATAACAAAAAGCTATTGAGAGAAAAGGGGAGGTGAGGTTATGTCATCATTCTATTTTCTATTAATATTTGTTAAAGTGAGTTTTAGTTCAGTCCAGGTATCAATACAGGAGCACATTTGTCTTTAGATCTATTTTCTTTTCTTTTCATGAAGAATTTTGGTTGTCCTCCTTTGGTTAAAACATGACAATATATTTGCATTGATCTAAGCTTAAAGGGAAGTAACCCCCCCCCCCTCCTGCCCCTGGGACAGGTCTGATGGTGCTTACCAGCCCCTCCTCCCCGGGTCGCAGCGAGGTAACGGCCAGGTCATTGCCGCTCTCATCAAAGGCGTTGATGTCGATTCCCCAGTTGGTGTGGGGCTGTTTGAACCAGTTCTGCAGAACGTGCTTAAAGTCAATACTCTGCCAGTGGCCGACCCTGGAGTTGAGCTCTATCTTCAGGGAGCGGATGCGGATGTGGCGGCTGCCCTGATCCGTGACGGGCTTCAGCCGGAGGATCTGCAGGTAGACGGTGGAGGTCTGCTGCAGCGGCCGCAGGTAGACCCACAGCTGGGCCTTCAGCACCTTGGTGAACATCAGCTTGGGGCTGAACTTGAAGAAGCAGCAGCTCGGCTTCCCGTTCACCTGCACCAGGGGCTCCGCTGTGGACAAGAGGACACATGTAAACATCTTTAAGCAGTATACTTCATAATATATCATTAAGATCATCAACATTGAAATAGCACTGAGAACTGTTTCTATAACGTCATTCCCAATTTCTGTCTCTTCTCAATTCCTGTCGTATGTCTTCTTTCAAAGGCATACAAACGCCCCCAAAAAGAATGTTAAAAATATCTTTATCACAACATGCATTTTGCTTCAATGTCTGTGCCAAAATATTTGTATTAAGTAGTTTTGCTCTTCTGTAAAAAACATTAAGGCTTCAATGTTTTCACCAGAGTTTCTGTTGATTGAATTTGGAATTTAGCAGGCTGTGCTTTTTCCAATCCATCCATGCTCATCACACTGTGCATCAGAGGGGTCCAAAGCACTGTGTTTAGAAGAGCAAAGGCATAATACACTGCTGCTGTAACAAAATGATTTCCCAATTTGGGATCAATAAAGAATCTATCTATCTATCTATATATATATATTCTTTCATCCACTCCCACTCGATGTACATTTCCAAGTCACAAATCATGGAGTGTTCAAAGTAGTTGTATTAAATATTATAAACTTACATGCCCAACTCACAGTTTTTTTTGACTGCCATACTCTGTCTAACTTCAGATTTTAGCTACGTTATCTGATGAGCACACGGTGGTGTTGCTTGGTCCATTCAGTCAAGTTACATTTGTGATCACATCAAAGTTGGAGAACAGTTCTATTTGCATATTAAAACAAGGATCAGTAATGGTGGCCAGTGGCCAGATGGTAACCTTAGATTCCCCTGGGTCAATCGTAATGAAATGGTCTACCCCACATCACAACTAGCAAGAGGTTTTTTTAATGGCTCGCACTTGCTGAAAATATATTTGGGGTGTGGATTAAGGGTTATGTCAAAGAACACTAGCCTTCTCCTAAAATAGGCAGATTTATTCCTGTCATGATCCTCGGCTCTGGAGTTTCTGTGATTTGCACCACATGTCAAATCTGCTCATGGTTCATTTACATATACTTCCATCTGATATAATGACATCCATCCATTGCATTCATACATTCATTTCCATGTAAAGTGTTCATTTATGAAGGGAAATTTATTCTGCATCTATCTGGCATAATAATGTGCCAACTGAATACAATAGAATATCTAATCTGCCCATTTTCTCTGAGCATATTTGACATATCACAAATCTAGATTTGTGCAAAAATAAACATTTCACCTTTTTTTGTCAATAATCTTGTAGAGGAGTGTGGTTGTTTCTCCTCCTGAAAAAAGCAGATAAAAAACAGTTCGGACCTGTCAATCATTGCTAAATCTGAGGTTGCTCAGGCAACCTGCAAATGCTTCCTGGGTCAAAAGGTTATTTGGCACCTCAGCCTAGTTAAGAAATGGGATCAGGGGTCAAAACCGTCAGCCTCTTTACATCTCAGGGGTGCTGGGGAGGGGCAGCCCTAATAGCCAGATTGAGTTTGAAGGTCAAGGTCGACCCCATGCCAATTGTAAAAAGCCTTTTTTTCGAACCAGAGAAACAAAACAAAATCCCAAAGATACATCAACGCAAAATCAGCCACAGTTTGTTTTTGTTTTGATTAGGGAGGAGATTCTCCAGCCAATAGTGATTTGTTTATCAAACCTCAATTGACCGGGAGAGAACACTGCACCCGGCTGTTTTTTTGTTTTTGTTTTTTTTACACCAAACAAGTGTTGTAATTGAATTATGGTCATGCATTGAGGGATATGAATTCACCGAGGTACAGATGGACTATCCATTAGAAAAGTCCAGAGCGAGCGTTGAATAAGGGCCAAGCCGGGGACAGACGTGGTCCTTCAGCCTGTATTTCCAGGGACAGTCATTAGTGAGTGTAAATTATACAGTGTCTCACGCTGGACAAACAATATGTCAATGTTCCTTTTGGTGGGTTGCTGGGGTCACAGCAATTAACGTGGATGGTGTTGTGTTTGCTCATCAGCACAAAACTGGGAATTAATCATTCTGCAATTTGTTTGGGGTTTACTTGTGTTTACTACTTTTTGTTGTTTTGAATCGCTGCAGATGGGGACTGACACACACCAGCTCTTCCTTTGCAAACAGTTTGTACTGCTTTTGTTTGGCTTCCAGGAGGATAAAAGAAACAAACCACTAAACACAGCAGAGCTGAAAGGGTTCAGCTTCACAAGCAGAGGCCTTTTCTTAAGGAGTAATCTGAGAAGCCCGGCCCATACACCGTGATCCAGTTAGGACCTGGGTTATTAAACACACATGCACAACCTATGAGCTACGTCATGTTAAACAATGACTGCATTGATAGGTGAAATCAATTTGGGCCTTTATAGATCCTGTAAGTTACAAGTAAGAGGCAAACCATGTAGGATGAATGCCTGCAGCTTAATTACACCCTACGTCTTGGCAGAGCGTTCCACTTCTGCAACACAAGCAGAGCTAGCTTGTAAAGATCAGAAACCAGTGGGACATTTAAAGCTTCTACCTGAAATACCTCATCTCCTGCTGCCATAACACAATATTGCTTAGAGAGCTCATATTTTTACTGCAACTGCAGGACTATTTTTATGGCTAATTTCCTGAAATATTTGCTCAGTTATCCTTCAGTGCATAACTGATTTCAGTCCTGCAGTAAGGACATGAATTCTGATTTTGCATTCAGCACCACCTACTGGAGCAACGACACCTCTCTCCTTAGCCAAACTGGAGATGCAGAGAGACAGATGTCCCTATAATACAACTTATTTTATTTTAAAAGTAAGAGACAAGTTAGGTGAAGTATGGACGCAGGCTGTGTTTTTCCAAAGGAAACAGGGTTGTTTGCTTTTCCTTCTCATGTTTCCAATCTACTTCATTATTACAGCAGCTTATTTCCCTGTGGTATAATTGCAGCATATGCAGCGCATGAATTTTACTGCCAGCGCGCAGCAGGCCAGCAGGTGAGCCTATCAAACATCTGGTGGGCTCCCTGGGTACCTGTGTCCCATAGTGAGCCCCGAGCCTCCTATACGTGCATGTTATGGGGAAACATATAGCATATAAGGGTTTATTCAGCATGCCATCTGTCCGTTTTAATATGACCGTAGCCTGTTTCAAAGTTAAATGCTTTCAATAATCAAATGCAGTAATGTTGAGCCAGTTAAACAGTTAAAAAACAGATGGAGAGGGAGAGTTAAGATGTAGTTATTCACTGAATAGTTAACACATGTTACAAGTGAGGGGACTGTATGTTATGTTGGCAGTATAAATGGTAGACTCTAGTCAAATGGTTCTATCTTTGATTACCATGGAAGAGAAAAAGTCAACATAACTTGATCAAATACTCAAGAAATACAAGAAAGAAAGTTTAAGAAATCTAAATTACAGAATTTTCTTTGTTAAATGTGAGGCACAAAAGTAAATTATTTCACAATGAATGGTGTCAGTTTGGCAGGACTTTATAAATAAACCATGTTTCATCTCAAAATGTTTCTGAATTAAAAAGAAAATTACACCTTTCTCATTAAAAACGTATTTTTGAGTTCACTTCCTCATGCAAACTCTTGAAAGGTGGCGGTGTGCATGTTGTGTACATAGTATGTAACATGTGCCATCAGGTGACCATCTGTGGCTAAAATGAGGTGGGGAAAGAAATGGTCATATATTGTTAATGTCCAAAAGGATAATGCAAAATGGTATAAACATAGATAGGAGTTTGATTTGCATATATATCTATATATTGTTTTCTTAATGGGAAATGCAAATGTGCTATTTTGTGGTGAGTGTGTGTTTGGGAGCCCTCATGTTGAATAAATGTGACTCTAGGGTATCCCCACGCACCTCGGCATATTAATCATCGTGACACGTTCACGACCCTTCTAATAAGACAGGGGCCACAGTGCACCCCCTCAAACATCCCATCCCACCCCAGCCCCACTCCCTCTTTGTCTCTCGGTCAGTCCCAAGGGACGGGAGAGGGTGGTGGGGGAGGCCTGGCTCGAGCTGGGGATAGAGAGGAGGGGGTGTGTGTGTGTGAAGTTAGACCCCCTCATTCAGAAGCCCTCCCTTGAGACAACGGCAGGCACAAGACTCCTATTAGGACTGAGCACAGTAGCCCCCCAGGAGCAACAAAAGACACCTCCTAATGCTCCCTGTTCTAGCTCAGTGAACTCACACACACACACACGCGCACACACACACACACACACTCATTCAACTACGCATAAACACATAAAACACATTGCTCCAAACTGACCATCTTTAGCATACAGACTTATTGTTTTTGGTGCTGGGGTTGTATGTGTTAGTATTATGAGGGGGACGTCTGCGGACGTTGTATGGGGACGGAGTATGAAAAGATTGAGCGTGCAGTGAACTGCGATAAAATGGACAGCTGGACAGCAGGAAGCATGCTGGGGTCTCACCGCTTGTGTTTGTGTGCATCCACACATACATGTAAGACGTTAACGTTCAAGGACAAGGATGTTTCCAAAAGTTAAATCCAAACTTAGTTTTTACACATTTTGTATTTAGCAGATATCTAAAGACTGTTAATGTGTCTTTATTACAGCTGCTTTGGACTGATGACAGGCTTCAGATTATGAGTTTTTTTGCTACTGTTTTTAAAGTAAACACCTCTGCTAGGTTGACAATCCAACACAGCAGTAAACAAACTATAATGCACACCATGCATTGCAGTTTATCAATGTCATATATTTAAAAGCACAGAGAAAGTATTTTTACTAATAAGGCACAAATAAAACTGAAATTAGTATATCATTCAAAGTAAAAGAAGCAGATTGTGGTATGATGAAGCCCTGAAGTGGAAATTATCTTCAAAAATGTTAGCTTTTAGTCAACAGGGATAATTTGTTGACCAAAACGTACTGCAAACTAAAATGTGTTGTTCAAAATGTATTTCTTAGCCTTGGACTCCAACTGAAATGTGCTGCAACTTAAGGTTGTGTTACTATACCCAAGTGTGTATGGCTTTCAATTTGGCAGTGACCCTTGAGAGA